TCACTGACGACCTCATATCTTCTTCTTGAGTCGGTCTAAGACAGAATAAATGACAAGAGCGGAAGGTAAGTTCATTAATACAAGAGATTGGTTCGATACATAAACTTTGTGTTTTGGGTTTGAGTTTTATGATTGTTAGAATGAATCGTGTGGTTTTTTTTTATGAAAATGAGATAGATGCATAGCAAATCTGTCGAAGAATATGCAAGAGGCGCATATTTAATTTCAAATAAATGTTCGGAGCGATATAGGAACGGATTGACAACAAAAACAAAGGTACATTACATTGGTTACACCGTTTAAAATTTAATTTTGGTCACACTGGTCACACTAGTCACATTGGTCACCCTGGTCACACCGTTCAAAATTTAATTTTGGTCACACTGGTCATATTGGTCACACTGGTCACACTAGTCACATTGGTCACACTGGTCACACTAGTCACATTGGTCACACTGGTCACACCGTTCAAATTTTAGTTTTGGTCACACTAATCATATTGGTCACACTGGTCACACTAGTCACTTGGTCACACTAGTCACACTGGTCACACCGAAAATTTTTAAAATTCACGCGAAAATATTTATTTTTTTGTGATGGAGGGAGTTTTAAAAATTTTAAAATATTTAAATTTTTTCCTAGGAAATCGAAAACTGCTTTTCTCTCTCTCTTCTCATTAATGTTTCTGTCATTGGGACCCACATCAATGGATATTTTGGGAATAACATAATTATAAATGTATGTTTTGAAGTAGTTTTTTTTTTTAATTTTTGCAGTGGTATGCTGTGAAGTCTTTTGTAGCATAATAGGGGTATTTTTTATAAAACCCCAATACATTCTATTTCAATTTATTTGGAGTCCTTTATCCTCAAATGTTTCACGAGAACTTTATGTGAACCACTATAGCATATGTTATGTACATCAATTTGGATTGTGTATATATATATATTTTTTTATAAATACTTGAAAGCAATATTATTGAAGACGATTATTTTTGTTATTTTTATTTATCATAATATATCTAATTTGAATTCGATGTATCAATTGTATTGAAACCCTAATTTTGCAAGAAAAAATATGAATATTTTTACAAATTTTAGTACATGTCAGAAACATTTTTTTTTAACTTCAAAGAAAGATCAAGCACAATTTTATAATTTTTAAGAAAGATAAATGGTTATTCGTAATTATAATAAAAATCAAAGTTATTTTATAATTTTATCGAGTATTTGATATTTAAAACTTCAAATCTGAAATTCTAATTTAAATATATTACGGGTGCATTAACCAAATCCAATGCATATGACCCGAATATCATTTTTTTTAAATTAATTTTGAATTTCAAATGCAACCTCACAAAAACAAGACAAAAGATGTGTTCTTAGGTAAATTAATTATTACCTATACTGATTACAAAATAAATTACCATTACATTTAATTATAACAAAGTCATACCATATAAATATTTATAATTGGGAATGTCTTAATTTACATTTTGGATTTGAACAAAATATCTACAGAGAATTGGCCTTTGTAAACACACATAATTGAATGAGAAGAGACATTTTAACTATCGAACTCGCCGGTAAAGTTTCTATGGGTATAACATTTTAAAATTTTAAATTACCCGAATTTATTTGAATATGAAAATAGTCGAAAATTCGAAGGAAAAAAAAAAGGAATTTTATCAGAAAATAAAAGTTTTTTTGTTATTTTTTTTTTTGATAATCCAGAAGTTCACCGGGTCTTTGGCCCAACTACATCTCCCAAAAGACCGGAGAAGTCCTGGTGAATGCCCCTCCCCACGCTTGGGTTTAGACCCAGCGTTTTTTTGTTATTCACTACCAGATTTGAATCAGATTCAATTGAAAAACTGAAAACCAAATATAAAAACCAAATAGATATAATTGTTGTAAAATTGAACATGAAATCAAAACATAAAATATCCACACCTAGTGTGTGTGTGTGTATATATACAAAGTTTGAAGAGAATACGGCTCATTGGGGTTAGAAACCTGCAATAAGTTCAGGGTATATGATGAGTGGCCTAATGCAAAAGCGTGTTTGCCTTCTTGTGTTTGTTTGTGAGTTTATGTTTTTACTAACAAAAATGAGATATATAATTATATATATCATAAAAATTAATATTTCATTAAATTTAAATAGGTAGATATGTCATATTCAATGTTTCAGACAAAAGTGTCCCATACTGTACTATACTCCCCCATGTTTTTGTATTCTTTTGTATCAAAAAGTGGGTTGATTTCATTGGCTACTATACACACATGCATTCATGCATACATACATATATATGTATGTATGTATGTATGTATGTATGTATGTATGTATGTATGCATGTATGCATGCATGTATATGTGTGTGTGTATGTATGTATGTATGTATGTATGTATGTATGTCCACATTTCTTATACATTCCAACTCTATGCACGTATCTATTAAAGGTTTCACTAATTATGTTTTCTTTGTTAACTCGGTCATAGAGCTGCGAATAATACAACAATACGTAAAATTATTTCTTGCTTAGAACATATAAAAATTAATGTTATATAATTTGCATACAAAAAAAATATTGCATAGTACAATTTAGAGATGTATATTTCGGTTCTAATATTTATAATTGCATACAAAAAAGAAAAAGAAAAACCAACTCGAACTAAATATAAAAATAATCAAAAAATAAGATAAAAACAAAAAACATTCTAGAAAAAATATTTTTAATATTCATAAAAAATCCAACTCTATTAAATCTAAATAGTTAAGTATTCAAAATTAAACAAAAAGAATAATTAAACTAAAATCTAAACAAAGCATAAAAGATAACTCACCCAATGATGACAAAGTCATTTTCAAGGTATTGGATTCGATTTCATTGGTGGGAGAAGAGATGTAATTTCTGGAACAAAATCGTCCATATACAAAAGTTGGTCCCGAATCTAGGGTGGATGTAGTTGGGACGAAGGTTCGGAGAACCATCCTGGTTATTAAAAAAAAATAACTCATCCAAAATCGATTAAAAGCTCCAAATTTATACGATAATAAACAACCCCATATATAATAATAATAAACATGACTCTAAACCTTTTTCTTTTCTATTTATTTTTATTTATTGGTTTTGAGAGAAGAAATTAGTGTCATTTTTCAAACATATGACACTCTTTTAACAAAAAAACATACGACATTCAAGTCGAATTTGGAAAAAAGAATGTATAGATTTTGAAAAACGTAAGAGTAAACCCAAGTTTGGGTGGCCTAGTGGTGAGAGAACATGCAATTTTGGGTTCAAACCCAAACGTGGGGAGGGACATTCACATGGGCTTCCCCGATCCTCTGGAAAATATAGTCGGGCCCAAGGCGCGGTGAACTTCCGGATTATAAAAAAAAACGCAAGAGTAGTTATTATTTTTCACTCTATATTATTATTATTATTATTATTATAGGTAGACTGCAATAAACTATAGAGGAATCACGCCATGATACGTACAATGATCCAAATAGATAACGATTCCCAAAGAAGAAAGAACGATGAAGAATAAGACAAAGATGGAATTGTACTATCAATGCATGTGAACATACCACCACAGAGATACATACATACATACACACACAATATATATATAGACTATATACAATATATATACAGACACAGGTTAGCTTAGGCTGGTTTCATACGTACTGTTCGAAGGGAGACAAAAATAAAGAGACAACCCGTGATATGTGACTGTTCTGTCTGGTCATTCCCATCGTTATACGTGCACATGTGTATGTATATGTGTATGTGTATGTATATGTGTATGTGTGCGTATATATATGGCTAGCTTCTTAGATTTTTCTCTGACATCTGGAATTTTTCCTTTGTATTATTCCTCTTTTTCGCGTTTACCAATGATACTCAAAATACTATAGATTATCATCTGCAAAATCGCATATTATTTATTCTCTATTTGAATTTGAATGAGTGGACCGACGCTCGAATAAATATACAGACCTTAATAAATCATAATGAACGTCGTTAAGATATATATATAATGTTAAGTGAAACTTTCAGATAATATAATATATTCGTCACAACTTCAATATTCAAATAACATCACCGTTCATGTCATGTGAAGAAGCACCATGCCATTATATGATTTGAAGAGGCTTAAGTAATGTAAATATATCATTTTCAAAATTCACACGTACATGTTATCGTGTATATTATATTTGATTTTATCTTTATATTTTAGATATTTATATGAATTAAATAAAATATAATAATTATGACGTCTCGTGAACATTATACAAGTTGAAACTGTAGTCACCGATAATTCTAACACGTTTTGTCATCACTCACACATTTTTTGAGAAGTGTTTTCCATGAAATCACTCATCCTAATTAAAACTATTCCAAAACAAATATATTTAACTTTAAAATTCTCTCGAGATAATAAATCTAAAAAATATATATATCTTACGTGGATAGTTCAATCAATTATTTTAATTTACCATTGACTATATAGTTTCGTACCCACACAATTCTCATATTTCTCTTATTGTGGTATGTTCGATTCCTCCATTTGCCATTTCTACCTAAAAGCCTCGTAGACACCGTGTCTACCGCTGATTGTGTATATACTTTTGAATCAACGATCACTTTCCACCCTTATCGATACCCGTATAATATCACAATAAGATTATATTTCGTATATATAAATATTGTAATCGTTTAATTTAAATAATGAAAAATCAAACGATTCTCCAAGTATTTCTCTATTATATATCAAACCCTTTTCTTAGATATTTATGAGAATATGTGGCCAAACCCCATAATAAAATCATTGGTTTAGGATTCTAATTTCCTAATTGTTTGGTTTACTACACGACAAAGAGAATAGATAGACGTGTGAACAAGAGATCCCGAGATGTATCTCTTTCTAACTGTGATCCCTCTTTCTTGATTCTATATATAGACAATAACACCATCACCAAAAAAAAAAAAAAAAAAATCTCACACCCTTTTCACCAAAAAAAAAAAAAAGCTAAAGAGATCTTTCAAGAAGCTCGAAAACATGGTGGCTAGGAAGGAGAAGAACAGTGCAAAACGCAGGAAGCTTCATTTTCCGACAAATCTCTCTGACTGCAAACTTGTAAATGCAATATACTTATATGTATAGATATATACACGTATATATACGTATGTACGTATATCTTGTTACGTTTACCGAAAATGGATTTGTGAACAGAAAGCGGTGATCGGAGAGGCACTCGTATTATACATATCATTGCTCAAACTCAAGATCGAAGCCTTGAATCAGATTAAGAACCAATATGAGTTCGAGGTTTGTCTTCTAACATGATCAAGTATACATTTTTTTTTTCTTACAAACTAATCTATGCTAGCTTCCTTCATACTCATACATACATACATACATACATACATACATACATACATACATACATACATACATACATACATACATACATACATACACACACACACACATACATACATATTGAGGTTGTTACAAAAATTAGAAGAAAAATAAAGGGTATGAAAGTGTCCACATGATGGGTAATAAACTTACATACATACATACATACATATATATATACATACATACGTACATGTAGCACCAATACATCCATAAGTTTGAGTAAGATACTTACAAACTGTATATACTCTACACAATTATACCAAATATATCGGTGTGTATATATATGTGGTCATATGGGTATATTAATTAGGAAGTGAAGGTGGAGAAGATTGAGGAGAGGTTCCAAGTAAAGGTAAGATGCCAAAGGGGAGGGCATAAGCTCGTGCAAGTTCTTGAAGCATTTGAGGAAATGGGATTGGAAGTGATTCAAGCACGAGTTTCATGCCAAGGCTCATTCTCCATGGAAGCCATTGTTGAACCCCGAGACCAAGGAGCAAAGGTGGTGTGGGATGTTGATTATATGACCCAAATCCTCGTTCAAGCGCTTGTAAAGCCAAATGGGTGAGAGAGAATGAAATGTAATATTGGAAGAGAGAGAGAGAAACCGAAGATATAATTTTCCTATTTTGATAAAGAACCGACCTATGTCTAGTAATCAGTAGCGGATCTAGAAAAATTTGTAAACGGATCCATAGTAATATACATGTAATTTCGTAGGGACAAATTTAATTTTATTACAGAGGCATTTATCAATTTTGTTTGAAAATTTATAAAATTTATAATAAATTAATTTTTTTATTATATAAATGGAGTCGCATACCCAATTATATATAAAGTAGGCATGTCACTGACTGTAATAAAAAAATATGAAATTGAAAACATACCCGTTTGTTATATAATAATTATGCAGAGTCATTGTGACATCCCGAGATAAGATGAAGGTGGAAAGTGATAACCGATACAGATGATACAGACAAAGA